CTAGTGCTTGCTTATAATTTTTGCCCATATCATATATTTATATGCCAAACCATAGCTATCGAATGGACATTCATCCGTTGAATAAAATTGGATGATACGTTGAATACATTCTTTAGCATTTGTATAAGAAGTTGTTCACAAATCGCATCACCATTATTTGAAGAGAAGCGAAATCTTACTTTACTATTTTCTGTATTTTTTCAATCGTGTACACCACAAAAATACATAGAAAGTGATGATATTATTTGTAATGGGTATTGAATCATCTAGTTTTTCTTGGTAAGTTGTACCAATTTTAAACAGACAACCAACAAACATTTGTCGCAGCTCTAACGAAGGGTGAAGGATCATTAATTGTTCATATATATTCAATGCTGTCAAGTAATTTTTACATGCCAGTTCGTCATTACCAGCGAAATAATAACAATTACCAATAACAGCGGAACTTAATGCTAGATTAACGCAGTCACGTGGAAATACCTTGTTTTCAAATAAACTTAATGCTCGTTCAAAGTATTCTCTGGATAGACAGGAATACTTTCTCTAACACTCTGCCAATTTGAAGACAACAATGACTCAACACTGGTGAATAAGATCGTTCACGTACATAGCATGAGAGATTGAGCAGTAATATGCTGTATATCGATCTGGAGAGGAAGGAGGACTTCGTGGTGGCGATTGAGATTGTCGTCGAGCAGAACAAGTTGGACAGCTGCTTTCGGAAAACTGACTTCTATCTTTAATTTCATTTAATTTTGTTTTAATTGAATCTAATTCCTGATGAATATAATTTGTATTCGATAGAATTTTATTGTTTTTCGTGTTTATTTCATAGGAAGGAATCTATGGACCAATGTAATAGATCAAAGACGGTAGTGGAACTAAGGGAAGGAGTGTATTGGCATATTTTAATTCTTAAGGGGGTCCTCCCACCCACTTTTTTTGACTAGTTTGTAGAGCACACTTTAAAACATATACTTCAAGCCATTTTTTGATTTCCAGATCCGTAGTTTTTGAGAAAAAAATTTTTAAGTTAAGCATAGGGTTTTGCCCAAATTTAAAATTTACATAAATGAAATATTTATGTAAATTTTAAATTTGGGCAAAATTCAAATGTAGATTCTGAATCCAAAACATGTTTTGCAGAAGAAAAATGAAGAGACATCTTTCTAGAAGCTTTTGCAACATCTGTTATGTCTGATGGCAACAGTTGACAGAGAGTTAAAACAGTAAAGAGAAATATTTATAGGACATAAGAAATGAACACATTTTGCAGGAGATGGCTGTAGTTCTGTACGGTTGTAGTAGCGGCTCAAAATTTAAATACATCCGTTTCATGTTTGCATGTTGCTTTTTGAGTTTGTACCTTCATGCTCTTCGATTTCCATGTTTTTTTCGGGATGAAAATTTCTTATGAAAAACGCATTTGTTTCTTTTCTGACTGCCTGAATAGCAAAAAAATAAAAGTAACTCCCTAGCTAATTAATCTCGAGAAAAGTTTGAATGTTGGTGAAAACAAGTTCTGAAGGTGAGTTAGTCACTGGGCGTGATGCAAATAGCTTCTTACGCCGTACTTTCTTAATATGTGCCGTAAGTAACAAAAAGAATTGACTCACGTAAATAGAGGAAACCGAATATCAAGCCATCTGATGAGTCCCTTAAGCAAGGACGAAATCTGGATCATGGCGGCTGTTTCCGAGAAATGGAAAATGAAAATATTTTTCTTGTTGTCTATAGAATCCATTTCTGGAATATTCGCTTATCGACTGATCGATGAAAACAAGGAAATGAACTTTTCAGTATTTCTGCTTAGAGATCGAGCCATCTGTGCCTTAAGATGTATAAGGAACTACGGTCCCATCTTTTCATATTTTAATTATTTCATCGCGTTCTATAATATACGTTAAAAATCAATTGAGATCTTTAACTGTCAAATGTGTCACTCTTCTTCAGAAACTCCCTCTTAAAAATAAATAATGAGCTAGAATCACTGTTCCGTTACTCTTTGTGAGTTGCTATAGAAAAACAGCAGTCTATAATTCTTTTACCTTTTAGCACATAATATTTAATCATCCTATACTTTTATTGAAAGGATTATGGCAGATAAACTGATAATAGCTTACCTAAAATGGTGAAATAAAAAGACACATGGTAGTGGAAAACATAAAACTAACCAGAACACGTTATTGCCCGTAAAGTTCTCAACTTCATTGAGTTCAGCGGACACTCCCGCAAACAAGAAGAATTTTTTCAAAACTTTTTTTTTTAAAACTTTTTTTTCAAAAATTGCGTCTAGAAAAACGTCTCTAGCCCCTTCATCCCAGAATACTTCTGAAAGAAGTACTTCCTGTCGATTATTTTACCACTTTCTACCTGAATTTTAGCTCCTTCGATCCTCCAGACAAAAGCTTGGAAAAGGAAGAATTTTTCAAGAATTTCACTAACTAGCTGCTGATTTTGCAAGAAGAAAGAGAAGGAAAAGTGGAGTCATCCCTGATCTTACTAGACAGAAAAGGAGACAGAGAGAGTCAAATAAAATTATTATGCAGTTTTTGTGTGTCAACCATTCGCCTAGTGCATATTCCCCGAACAAAGATTCAAGCAAACTGAATTTAATTACAGTATACTCCTACTGATTCTAACTCATTCTGCACATGTAGCTGCGAGATAAAGTTCGACCAGTAGCAGAGCACCAGTTCTAGATAGATGGCGTCTAAATCTTAAAGCGTTCGACGTCGTCTCTAAGTCAACTGGTGCTCTGTTGTGTCTGATTATAACGAATATTATAGGCCACGATGAAATAATTAAAATATGAAAAGATAAAACTGTAGTTCCTTATACATCTTAAGGCACAGGTGACTCGATCTCCAAGCGGAAATACCGAAAAGTTCATTTCCTTGTTTTCATCGATCAGTCGATAAGCGATTCCAGAAATGGATTCTATAGACAACAAGAAAAATATTTTGATTTTCCATTTCTCAGAAACCCACTTCTACACTTCTTTTGCACATATCATACACGCACGTTTGAAATGACGATTTTAGTTTTAGCGATGAGTCATCACCAGACACCTCCTTAGGTAGAAAAACGTTCAAAGCTACTGCTAACACAAAAAATATTTGACTAACGAGTGATTATGTACTGCATGAATACAGCATGTTTTGTTTGTTCCATTAAGCGAGTTCGTACGCATACTTAATGAGCATGGACATTACATGCAGAAGTTTTGGTACAACTTTGACGGAGACAGGGAAATCTTAGAAAGTAACTGTGAACTTCTTTTTCCCAGTCACTCAATTTTTTTATTAAATAAGTCAAAATATTTCTGAGTAATTATTTTCAAACTGGGCAGAGGGAACCCTAATCGAAAATTCTGATTACACATGCTAATCTGTGTGTTATATGTTTAGTTCATTGATACGAATAGTGAAAATAACACTCGTGATGTTCGAATTGCTGATTGTAGAGGACATATTAAACAATTAGAAGCAGAAAATGCAGCATTACAATCAGAAAATGTAGAATTACGAGAGTGGCTTTGTAATCTACAGGAAAAATGTGATAAACAAGAACAAACTATCAGCGATTTGACAGCAGTTATTTCAAAACTGCAAATTTTGGTCGATAGTAAGCATGATACTCTATATTTTCTTTTGTAAGAGCTTGTAGACCTTGAGAGGATCCGAATATGGATTCGCTCCACTAACGTTGTACTAGAACTGTCCGTACTTGCTGCGTCAGTAGTTATTTTTGCAACTGATCCCTTCCTTCGGTCTCTAAAACGTAATACATTCGGCACATTGCCTTAGTGGTTTTCAGTCGTTGCTTTATCTGGTAAGCACAGTTCCCGAAAGACAGACTCTGTTACAGAAATTCCGCTTCGATCTGCAATAATAGTCGAATAGTGGTTGTTTCTATTTTTCAATAAGATTGAAATCTTACCTTATTCAGTGTCCTAAAACTCCAGCTTGCTTTTATTGCATTCTTGCTATAACTGAATTCCTTGTGTTTACTTTTCTATTTTTAGCTTCAACAATAACGGCTCACACTACGATCAAGATGCAGGAGGTGAAACTCGTATTGTACATTTTGTTCCGGGTGGTGATACTCCATTTGGTATTCATTTAGCATTGGCTCCTGAACGTGTTACATTGAATTCTATTAAAACTCGTATATTAGGTCAAGAGTTACGTTTGAAAAATCTTGACTATTTTGTTAAACGTCGATCAGAAAATGAAATTTGGTCAGAAACACCATTCTATTATGAAAAACTTGAAAGTTCAAATGATGTTCTGCCTAATATTGATGGTACTATTGTTATTAAATTACTTGAAAATTAAGGCTGAATGACTGTGTTTCGTGATTTTTGCCTATCATTTCTTTATATTCTGTGTATGTGTAGGTAGTATTTGATGTTTTTTGTACACAAAATGTCTCTTAAAACGAATGTTCTCCCATAGGAGAGAAATGATTGTTTTCGAAGGTTTCTTCGGTGAAATCTACTTCTAGTGGATGGAGTACATGCCAAATCTTCCGCTCAGAAGCGGCAGAAAAAAGCAACCTTTGTTTATTGTTATGAACAAGTTAGTCACATTCAGTCTTGTCTGACTGCTGGAATTTTTATGCAAGTTTCTTGGGCAGGTACGTAAAAAAGCTCTACTTTGAACTGAAAAAAGCTAAAACCTCTAATAGATATATAAATTAAATTCCTCCTTGCTTCGGAAACTGCTGGAAGAAGTTCAGTTCTAGAAAACTTTACCAATTAGTAAACTACCCAGGATGATGAGTTAAGCTAATCAGCGACTGTTTGAGCCAGTCAGTACACCCTTGCGTCCTGTTTAGGCATTTTTAAGAGGATGAAAATCGTACTTCAGTCTGAACTTCGACCTTTAATCGCAACCACAGCTTCTTGTTACCCTGGTCTAGCGTTGTGTGTATAAACTTTGTATCTGTTTTGGCTGTGTATAAGATGGGGTTTTGAGACCATCGAAGCGTTGTTCATTGCTATTTAGGATTTACTACGCATCCCTTGTTAGCACTTTTTCTTGTTGCTATGTGTAAGCGGTCACTGGAAGAAACACCCGGCGTCGTTTATTACATATTGAACGTCGATAACTTAGCAGATATATTATATCCTATTTGGAATTTCAAAAGACGTGTTTTATATAATACTTTTCCTAGTTAGTTACGGTAGGTGTGTGATATATTGTTACTAGAAGAGCAGAGGAACAAAGTCGTTCTTGGACGATGCCTTTGTCAACTTTGATTACAAAGATTCTGGTCGTCCTTTTCGCTTCCTTAGTAAGGTGCCCCAAATGCAAAAGAGGAGCAGAAAGTTTTTTGATTAATTTATACATGATTCGATAGAGCAGGTCGAGCTGAGTAAGAATATGTCATTTGCAATTTTACCATGTTTTGGGTGCTCGTTCAAGCTCAAAGTTGCAGTTTGTCAGTGATTTGTACTAAAATTACATATCAATAAGAAGAAAAAAATCAAGTCCGTAGAGAGTCGTTGATAAGTATGTTTTCACATTCAGCACACTCGATAACTCAGAAGGTTTTCTACTTCTGGCGGACGTAATGTTTAGGTTTTTGCGTTTCGAAAATGCTTTGTTGTAATCAGAAACCTCAGCTGTACAAGTTTTGAACCTCTGACAGTAGTTAGGCTTGTGAAATGTTCATCATCCCCATTTCTTTCCCACTATGAGCAATGGGCAAATAGGCCAAACTTTTCACATTTTTCTTCAATTTCTGTTCATATAAGCTTTTTCTCATCTATTTTATCGTCTTATAGAAGAATCAACTTCACAAAAGTTTCAGAGTAGATGCATTATAACTTTGGGAAAAAGCGTCTTATAGATGAAGGCGGGAGAAACGATAATTACAATTTGTAATGGGAAAAGCGTGCGCCATTAGAAAAGCTATATTTTATATATTCACTTTTTGAAACACCTATACAGAATAGAACATATACCTGAGCTTACTTGTACGATTGCGGGAACATTTACAATAGAACACCACGAAAAGCCTCCTTAGCGTGTAATCGAGAGTCTCTAAGCCTCCAGCACATGAGCAACATTCCGTTATATTCACGTCTATACGTACATTTTAATCTATACGTCAGGTTTCCACCGGTAAGCACTCCGTTGCATACATGTAGTGAGGGTATCTGACACTCCATTAGCGTCCCTGATCTTAGATATTCGCCTATAATATATGCTTGCCGAAATTCCTTGTAGAGAATCATTACTTACTTGTTCACCAAAGAAATTAGCGCCAGCTAAAAGAAAGAAAAAGAAAGTTTGTGTTTAGGAGCTTAGATTTCATATATTCACAATAAGCTTGTTGATTTTTAGCACCAATTAATGGATTATCATTGACTGAATTCATTTCAATTTCAATTGTACGTGCACATTCATGTAAACGTTCAACAAATTGTCCTAAATATTGTGGCATGGCCCGTATGAAATAACGGTCTTGAACTAATTTATTTGCATTTAGTGTTTGTTTATGGGAACCATCTAAACAGTTGTTAATCATTTTTGAATCTGATAATAAATCTAACATTATTCGAGCTATATATTTCTAGGAATAACAAACAAACAAAGGTATTAGTAGTTTTAGGGAACACTTCCCCTGTTCCATTACCTGTCCGAAATGGGGTTTAACATGATGTAAAAACGGATGAAATGGTTGATTATTGCCCAATGATGCTTATATAGCAAAGACATGTGCATGTAATGTTACAGCAAATAAGATATAAAAATCATAAATAGCTAATGCAGCTGTCGCTGTCATTATACTTGAGTCATTAATCATAGCTAAACCTCCTTTCGGTTGTAAATCAAGTTTCGTTAAACCAATTTCTTTTAATGCGTCAAGAGCATTCATTCTTCTAGTATAAAAATCAACATGAAAACTTCCATTTATACCATATATGAAACTCGCAATATAGGTTAAGGGCACTAAATCACCAGATGCGCCAACAGAATCAAATTCGGGTATTAAAGGTGTAATATTGTCTAGAATAAGTTTTAACAAATTTTAACAAACGCGATGTTATCTCCATACGCATACCGCTTACACTTAGTAAATGAGAATTCGCTCATTTGTCATCTTGTGTATCTTTTAAACAAGTTCTTGACAAAATGCCGAATCAACGTGTGAATAACTGATCATTGCCAATGGCCATTGCGATCGTGTCGATGTAATTAATGATGATGTATTCAGTAATTTTACATCGGCTGCATTCCATAAGATTTCTTCACATGCTTTTCTTATTAATGACAAGGTTTTCGGTATGCATTGATGTTGTTCCTGACTACAAATACCAGTTTCTCTACTTGTTAATAGTCTTTGAATTAATTTCATTAATTCACCATTATTTTTAACTGATTCTTTCTATTTATCATGAAATGAAGTACTCCATAAAATGTTGCATAATGAAAGTTTTTTGTATACGATCATTGTTATCGCGTAAATGAAATTGAATTAATAATGCTGTAGATATATTTCTGTTGTTAAATCTTCGTGACTGTTAGAAGCAGTCTGATGCAGTCTTAAAACAATTATTAATCGATGCTCAAAATAAAAGCTATACATGATGTAAAAGACTTTGCGCATGAAAACTATTTTGTCAAATTGATCAGTTGTCGTTCAGTCCACTTAAATTGATTGATGTGTCATATTTTTCAAAAAAATGTTTTCACATTTTATATCAATCGCAAAGATCGATAGCCTTGTTTCAGTAATTTTCTGTACATGTCCATAATTACTTCACCATAAGTAGCATAATTCACACACGTGTTTGATAAACACAGTAGCTGTCCGATGACAATTTCAAAAATCATTGATTTCGGAAAATTATTCTGTACGTTCGGATAATTAGCTATGTAGATGTATAGCAGTTGTATAGTTTGCTCAGTTTCTGTTTAAAAATGATCAAATAAATCAATCAATCTCTCAAATCAAACTGAGAAAAAAATATTTCTGAGAGAAAAACAGAAGAAAAATCGACGAATCTATCGAATCAGCTGGGCATTGTGAATCTACGTGATAAAAGAACGATACAAAAGAAAGAATGAACAACTTATTTCGCTCGACTCTGTTATATCAGAGGAAAATTATATAACAAATGATATAAGCGATTACGACTCCTTCGTCTTAAAATGTCTAATAGACATACAAAAAAAACTGTTAGTTAGTTTCTTTTCGTTAAGAGATCACTCTGATCTTCAGTGTAATCAATATTTCTCTTAATCTCCACTCTCTTTTTGTTCTCTACACAAAAGCGTCTTGCCCTGTAGCGAATGCAGGTAAGAGCTTCTGCCCTGCAGGGAGTGCAGGTAAAAGCTTCTGCCCTGCAGGGAGTGCAGCCAGGAAAAGATTCTGCTTTATCTGCCGGCCGTCAGTGGAAAAAGTTTTCATTCATCTGCAACCTACCTGCAGTTTGCAGGTAGTTTAAAATGCAGGTGATCAGCTCTGGTGATCATAATTTTGTGAAAAATTGTAGTCTAGAAAAAGTCGATTTACATGACTAATTTCTACATAGAATACATTTCAAAACTCACTAAGTATAGATGGAAATGTATTAAAATTAATTAATTAATTATGATCATCCCACATATTCTTCATCCACTAATATGCCACAATATGCAGATCTAACAGTTGCAACTAGTTCAATATCAGATATTCTGACAGGTATTTAGTGCAATAAAATTTACCCTTTTTTATTCATTTAACTGTTTTAATTTTAACTGATTAAGGTTATTCGCACACGACTAATAATAATTGGTCTAATAATGATGTAAACTTACAAATATACAATCAACATCCTGGTGTCCCATTGTGTTATAAGTGTGAAAAACCGCAAAATGTTTATATCAAGTGTTCAACGTGCGGAAGGGAATCATGTAATTATTGTGCGGATCATAAACGTCCATTTTGATGATATGAAGATGATGTTTTCCATAGTGATTAGAAATAAGGTAATTCTGGTAGTGATGGCATCATGTATTGTTTCGAATGATTATTTATTGGCGGTTGTTGATATACCTGGTTTAAACGATAATGCTCAAGTTGGTGAAATTCTAATATATATCGATCTTGAAGAGTTACTTCCGAACAGCAAAGTGTTGAATTTCGATTAATGTGTTCAAACGGTGTCATTAACAGGGTTAAAACAGATGTTACTGTTCTTCTTAGACAGTATCCTAAATATTGTTGCACCAATAGTGAAGATGTTGAAGTATAATAAAAAGAAATGTTGCTAATAATAAACGTTTTGTCATTGTCATACTACCTATGAAGAATTTACTGTAGGGGAGGTACACACATGCGTCTTTCACTTCACTTTGATAATCATACTGAAAAGTAACACATGTGTGTAAATTCTTCATAGGTAGTATGACAATGACAAAACGTTTATTATTAGCAACATTTCTTTTTATTATACTTCAACTAGCTTCACTATTGGTGCAACAATATTTAGGATACTTTCGAAGAAGAACAGTAACATCTGTTTTAACCCTGTTAATGACACCGTTTGAACACCTTAATCGAAATTCAACATTTTGCCGTTCGGAAATAACTCTTCGAGATCGATATATATTAGAATTTCACCAACTTGAGCATTATCGTCTAAACCACGTAATAAAAATAATAAAAGTTAACTTTTGTCTTTTTCACAATAAGCCTTCTCTCTACCGTGATGAAATAACGTCATTTTTTTATTTTTCTCTTTATTATTGACTTAGCCAATGTAACGAGAATAAGATAATTATGAAATGCATTTAGAATTTTGAAACGCCCTTCTTTCTACACCATAAAATATCGACAGGTGATTATTTCTTTATTGCGAGAAACACAATAGTAGTATTAATACATAGTAGTATTATTATTAAAAAAGTAGTATTACAATACATGTATTAAAAAATTATTTTTTGCTTTTATATATATGGATTCTGATTTGTTAAATTTTGTTGCAAAAATTTTTTATTGAAAATCATACTGTTTTTAGACCTATTTTTGGTTAAGTGTGTTTCCGCGTTCCTCAGCACCTCGAAGAAAAACGTTGTCGCCACACAATACGCCATCTATCAAATGTATTCACCGCGCTTCGAAACTGGAAAACGTTTACATCCATTTTGGTCAAAAGTTCGCCTGGATGCCTAGTGTGCATGGGAACCGGAGTTTTGGGTCTTGACACTACAACCGCCACATATGCATCAGTTAATGTTAGGGATCAGCTGCGGCTACTGCGTCAGTGGTCAGATACTTGGGAATTTCAGCCACAGTTGTGACTCCTGCGGCGAGGATTAATCCGCAGGTGCTACAGCTCTTTTTTGACTGGATTTCTATGTTTCTCTAGCGGCCGTGTACCTGACTGTTGTATATAGAATAACCCGACGCGATCAATGTTCTTCTTTTCAGAAATTATCAAGAAACACGATTTACTTGCAAGCACCCGTGCATATTGCACGAGCAAGTTTCTGATTATCGAAACCACTTCCGTCTGTCGATTCTAACCTTTTCAAGTAGATTGCACCATCCTCTGTCTATTTTAATAGACACACACCCGACGCTATATATCTAAATTCTTCTCGCCTTGTTTTTTCTTCATTTCTGTGACGAACATCGTTTTAAATATTACTGTAACGAATATATAAAAGGATCATCATCGAAATTTTTGTCTTTTGTTATCGAGATATGTTACCATATGATGATGATGTTGATGTATTGGTACATAGAAGATATTATTCTCTGTTATTAGCAATCAATGAATCAAATAGCAGCAAAGAACATTGAGTATTTTATTCCAATACGCCTACAAATATGAAATTTTATTTTCGTGCATCTCCATCAGCTTGAAATTATAAATGGAAATGGCCATTTATTGGTATGGATTTTTATGCAGATAATCTTACACATATTAAATCTTATATCGATATTAAAAAGATATTATATTTCCATTAGTGTTACGTCCAGTAGCCACTCTATGGTTACCCGGACCGCGTAATGTTCACATGTTTTTTAAAGTGATGTCAAAACACTATTACTCAAGTTTATCAATTGATGAAACCTGTTTTCTACAAACATATTCACATCGACATGAAACACTTAAATATAAACGAAAAACTGTTGAATGTACACAATCACATAATATTTATTCATATATTCGACGGAGATGTGATGAAGATTATTGCCATGAATTTGTAATGTTAAATGACGTAATGACATTGTATGTTTTGAAAATGATCAAAGATCAGTAATAACAAGAAATTATAGTTTTTGCAGTTAGTACAATTTAAATACTAAATAGTCGTTTATTGAAGACATTAAGTGGAACCCAACATTGGTAGACCAGAAAGCCAAAGCTTTTATAGCTACGAATAAATGAGTTAGAAGGCTGCAATTTTCACCATATTGTCACTCATGACGTTTAGCCCATTATGTGGATATTGTCATCTTGAAATTCAAAATTCTTCATTCTTTTTTGAAAAACTAGTTAGTACGTGTAATGTTTTACTGTTGCAAAGTCGATAGATCAGCAACGTAAAACAATATTTTGTGCAAGAACAAACTTTTTGTGACAGAAATTAACATCTTGCTGGATACCCTTTTGGTCTGAAACATTCAT